AATAGTTGCATATCAATAAATAACTTCAGCTCTAAAATGTTAATGTCTCATGGTCTTCAAGCCTCAAAATGCAAAGACTTTTGGCAAAACTTCAATTTGGCAAAGATTTCAGTAAAAGTGACTTTGATTTCAGTGGAATTACACCAGGGATCATTAGTGGCTGTTTTCTAGGGTGCAGAAGACCATAATTACCCGGAATAGTCCATATCCAGAAGTGTTTCACAAGAGCAGGCACATTTACTGGAGGAGGCTATCTTGGGTCAACTTTTGACCTTTGTTTCTTCTCAGGATTATCATCTTCCTTGAACTCAGGAGACAGAGGAGTGCTCCACTTCTGGAAGCACTGCTTTTAAGGAGAGATAGTACTGATTGCCCTTAAACATATGCAAGTACAAAAAACACACAAAGCTTGTTTAAGGGACTACCTCAAAAGGTAGCAGCACAGCAAGGACTGAGGCTTTTCTCTTGTCATAAAAAGTCATGACAAGTCTGGCAGATGCATCTGGACCTCAGGTTAAGACACTGTCATGCTGTATGTGGGACTGCAAATTATTATTCTTACAAAGAAAGTTTATGGAAGTTGTTTCAAAATTGACAAGACTGATGATTAGAACTAATTGACTTTCACAAAACAGGGAGTCCAGAGGTGGCATGGAGCAGGCATAATGATTTATGAAAAGGATGCTAAAAGGTTTACTTGCTGTAATAAAATGTCCTCTGATACTTAAACTTTTGATGCACCATTGAAGCAAAATGCAGCACAAACAGTAAATATTTTCTTTGCATATACTGTATTAATTCTACTGTGTGCATTTGAGAAGCTATGCATTATTTCCTTGCTAGCCATAAATGTAAACAACTTAAAGCCCTCAGGCTTCACTGTCCTGAAGCATGCAAGTGGAATAAATGTAAGCATGTAATAAATGTTAGCATGTAAGATTGCGGTGCACCACTTTTATGGCCATCACTGTGTCTGCTGCATTCAGACATTTGGCACAATTTCTTTCTGTCCTGTCCAACAGTTGTTCACTTATTTATGTCCTCACTATGGTCTGTTCACATAACTGTGACCTGGTTGTTTCAGGTTTTGCATGTTGCAGATGTCAGTTGGTTTTCCTATGCTTCGACAAACTAAACAAAGTGAAGCTGCAAGTTATTTCTACAATCCCAATTCTCAATTCTGTGCAGACAAACAAAATCACTTGAGAGTACTGGCAACCTAGAGGATCTCTAGCCCAGTGCCCTTTCCACTTCAGTAACAGAAATCCTTTTTAATGACATGATCTCATTTCTGCTGAAGGATTTAGCCCTGAAGAAATTGTTCTCTTGCAGTAAATGAAAGAATACTTATACCAGATAGTACATAGCATAGCTGCTGCTCTGTCAGTGAAGGGGTTCTTTCTGAAAGAATACAGCATACTCACTGTATTCACAGTAGTCACAATATTCACAAAATTCACATATGCCCTTCATCATTTGGGCAATATCTAATCATACGGCACAACTGTAGTGTATAAAGAAACTTTAAAAGGAAGAGGAGAGTTAAAGCTCATAGCAGACAATGAAGGAGAAGCAATGCTGAAATACTATCTTGTGGCTGTTTTATTGACAGGTTGTTAAGCAAATGCACAATATTGTTGAACAGGGGTAACTCATACAGGTGCATATTTTTGAGTTCCATCCTCATGCAAACCTTATTTTAGCACACTTGGGAAACACCTCCTGTTCTTCCTGGGGTAAGATTTTGCAAGATTTTTTTAAGAAGCATAAACCAAATTTCATAGCTATGGAGGACAGATGGCAGCAACCTCTTTTTTGTTTCCAGTCTGCATCTGGCTCTGGTTTGCATCTGTCTGGGCAGCTTTGATGTGGGCTGTCTTGTATCCAGGAGCTGTGCTTGAGTACCCAGCACAGCTCGATGACAGCCTCACTACCCACCCCTGGTTTCATCATATGTGCCAAGGCCTTCCCTACGTGTTTGTGATGAAAATGCCTCCTTTGGAAATGTTTTCTCAAAGCAGGTGAGACATTCTTCCACCCTGCCCACTGCTTCTCTCCTACACCATTATCTGGCTGGGGAGAAAATGCTTCCTGCACAGCAGATGTGTGACCAACATCCCCTAGTGTATGCCTGCCTGTTAGCCTATTGTATCTGCAGTGAGTGCATAAATACACACAACTCAGCAGCTTGGCAAATAGACTCTCTGCAGTTTAAGAAATACATTTATCAATGTTTCCATTTCTCAGTCCTCTTGTCTGAATTCCTCAGCATAGTATTTAACAAATGTCTTAATTTTCATCTTAAAAAGGAGAGCCAGAAACATCAAAGCTTTCAGTTTTCCTGCTTCAGATAAAATATGCTGACATTTCACACGAGGGAGGATTTTTAGGAGATCATAGCATTCTTCTCTCTAAATATGTCTTTTTAAAAGCCCATTGATGCTTTCCAGTTTCAAATTCATGCTATTAATAGGTTTAAAAAAAAAAAGGATTTATAGGGAAAGAAACCACGTGATTTTATAGCTTAAGTGTCTCATATAAACAAAGACCAAAACAAAGGCTGTACAGAATACCTTACTTTTAGTGTACAGCAGCTGTACAGAAGGGACTGGCTTCTGCCTGTGTGAGCATCAGCATGGAGACTCTTTAAAAGCACATTGAGAAAAGCCTCAATTTTTTCTGTCCTCTTGGAGTAGAAGAGGACTGCCTGTTAATTTAATATCTTCAGAGCCAGTGCTGTCCTTAGACAAAGCAGCACTTTTTCTAAGCCTTTTTTTATTTATTTTTGCTGGAGACATATCTGAATGAGGTTTAGAGCAAAGAAGGCTGTCTTCATCTTTAGAACTTGGTCTTTAGAAACTTAGAGGTTTTTTTCCAACTGAGTGTGATTCAAGATTTCAGATTCAAGACCACAGCTGAGTAAGATGTATGCAACGTAGGTCCTCATGCATCTGGTCCACATTTGAAAGAAAAAGCAGCAATTTGCAAGAGAACAGTCAACCCTCACTAGGCTTTGCACTGGATCTAACCCAGCAGGTACTCACTGAGCTGTGCTATTGAGACTTTAAAGGCCAAAACACAGGTTGTTAAAAGTTTAGCCCCTCAAGACCTGTAAATCCATCTTTGTCTCACTTTATTTCTTTATACATGTGATGACTTGAGAGTCCTCTGCTAAGGGGACATTTCTATAGCATGGTGAGTCTGAATGAGGTGATGAAAATTCTGGCTGGTAGTCAACTCGGCTGAACACAAAAATTTCACTGCCCGCACATGAAATGTGGCAGAAGGCACTAACAGATGGTAGTGCCAGGACAAGGAGTAGCAAACTGAAGAAGCTGTGGCTGGAGATAGCCACTCATACTGTTTTGACAACTAGCAACTTGGAAGCCATGAGCAAAGCTGAGTTCATCGAGGTAAAGTATGTCACAAGCATCAACAGGTCTAACTATTGAACATGGCTGCACCAGACAAGAGCATGAGACCTCTTCTGTTACACAGAAGTCTAATTCACATAGAAATCACTTTAAATCCACCTAGACATCCTCTCATGCACAGCACAGTTAAAACCAGTGAAAGCTTGTGTAATTTATAAAGTATAATTTGTGTGTGCATTTTGTGTTGCTTTATGTCTGCTGCCTTACTAAGATCTAATTGCCTGAGGTCATGGAGGGACAAAAATAGTTTGCACATAGATACTATGTCTATATATATACACACACTCAAAAACTAGCAAGAAAGCCTTGTCTGTTATGTCAAAAATGTTTCTATTTTGGGCAAGGTTTGAAGCTTGCTGTTGGTGGTAAATGTTTTCCCTTTATGCATAGTTTGCACAAGTCAGGTTCTATTCCAGCAACAAGTATGGCATTCAAAAGACACATACAGCATATTTTGGCTGCCTCTGAAATCCAATTCCCTTGAGCTGATGATTTCCTGTTTAACTCCTCTTTGCAGAAGAGGAGCTGGTTCCTTGAACTAGCATTGCCAATCACTTTCAAATTCAAAACCAAAGCTCCCCTTTACTGATCAATGCAAGGGAATGTTTGGTTAGTCCCCTGGCTGACCATTTTTTCCACCAGCTCAATTTCCTTGCCAAAGGGCAAAGTCCTGTTTAGCTTTGGGCTCCTGGTGTTCCTCATCCCATCTGCTGTGTTCCTCTATCATACCCGGACCAGACAAGGAACATAGGTGTATAGGCTGTGTAAAGCATGGCTTTCAACCAGTCCACCTCCACTGGTGAACTACCCTGGATAAGCTGTAGCTGCATTAAACAGGAACGAGGTGAGATTTTAGCTGCATTTTCAACGTAGAAAGCACAACAAAACTCCCAGGAATAATTTTGTTGGGTGAAGGATATTGATGCTTTTTGCAACAGTGTTGCTGTTCCTGGCATCCCTTCCACAAATTCTGCAAAACTTTTGTTCATTTGTTCTAATTTTTGTGTGCCCAAGAGAAGATTTACATGCTTGTGTTTATGTATGCATGTGTCTGTCTGTCTGCCTGTAAATATGGAAACACATCTGTTGTATAAATAGAAAACATCTTTGATTGATTTAATAGGAGACTAATTTTATATTCCATGAAAAACATTACATTTAAAGCACATTGATCTTTTGTTTTTGAAGCTTTAAAAAGTTTATTACTTTAGTCCTTCTAGCACATGCCTTATTAGTCACAAGAAATCCACACTTCAGTTCAAAAATTTCAGTTCTTGCAGGACTTGCTAATTTTAAACTCTTTGTTTTATTAGGAACTAAAAAGAACTTCATATTAAGGCACTGATAGTAAATAAACTGTATACTGTGAAACTGACACTCCTCAATGTGAAAGACCTGACATCTAAATAAACAGCTGATTGTTTGGCTGTTACCAACTGTCTGAAGCAGTAAGCAGAAATTCAGTGGGGACAAGCTAATATTCATAAGCAAAGACAGCTTCTTCTCAATCTTCAGATAGTTTTTGTTCAGGCTATACCTAAGATATGGGATTTTTTTACATTGCAGTCAAAAGCTCTTCGGGAAAAATGGCTGCTACAGGGAATTCCTGCTGGCTCTGCAGAAGAGGAAGAAGCCAGAAGGAAGCAGTCAGAAGAGGATGAGCTGAAGGTGAAAAAGCTGGAAGAAAACATACACAGGTAGGGACAGCTTCCTTTAGCTTTGCCTAAGAACAGTCACTCCCATGAAGGCTGGAGATTTTCCTTGCCTAGATCCCCATCTCTGGCAGCAACTGATGGCAGCTGCCCAGGCACAACTGTAAAAGGCAGTCACACATACAGCCAAATATGCCCAACATTTGTCTGCTAGGAGTCCATGTTGTTCAAGATAGAGTCACTGTGTTATCTTTGTGTTTAATGGACTTTTACGGATTTCTTGCATGACGTAGCTAAACAGAGGGCCAAGTTCCCCCTTCAGATGCATGTGTATGAATTGATCAACACCCAAGAGATTCTCCATTCCTTTACACCTCCTACAGCCAAAATGAGTTCAAAGAGGGAGAGCATCCTTTTGCGCTCACTTCACTGGTGCAAATGACTTTCTGAAATACAACAGCAGATGCCACCAGCAGATCAAATACTTACTTTTTTCAGAAGCAAGGTTTGGGTGTTAGAAAGACTTGCTTTTATCAGTTTCCTATTGCAGTCTGAGTTGACATTTGTCCTCTTTTTTGTGTTATTCCTTCTTTTATTACAAACTAAGAGCTCTGAAGGAATAAAAGGCTTATAAGGAGAGTGATTTTAATCGTCACAGGGCAAATTCCAGAGCTGCTTCTACCATTCAGGTTATGTAAATTTAGAGTTTTTTCAGCTGGCAAAAGCTGGTAAAATTTGGCAACACAACTTTTAAAAATACGTCAGCTGAGGCTACAACAAAGAAAAGGGAATAGGACCAATAGTCCAAGGGTTGAGGTATTAACTTAGCATCTGGTGAACTTAATTTGCCTTATGGCAGGTTTCTTGTGAAATTTCTTGGAAAAGTCAATGAGAAGGTTTCTTTGGGGATACAGACAAACAGACTTCCCCTAAGCCTGGACAATGCTAAATAACTACTATGTGGAAGATATTGGTCAGCATGAATGTAAGAGTTACCTCATGTTACTGGTCTTTGTCCTGTGATTCATATTAATTGAAACTGGTCTGAGAATGTGTATTGTTATTTTACATTTGTGGTACCATAAGGCGAGAAAATTTTTTAGATTTCATATGATAGCTGATGTTTTACTTCATAAATTAATACTGAATATGGAAAGAATACATGGACTGTGCTTCAGAAATATGTACTGTAATGCATATTTCATCTAGTGCAGAAAGATGCTAAGACCCCTGACCCCATCCAGCAAAACATGTCAGAGAGTGGCTAATTTCAGCTATATGAGTTCCACCATTGAAAGCAGTGAAACCACTTTGTTTAGTTAGTTCAAAGTGTAGGATGAAGGGCTCTGTAAAACCTTTGCTCCCATGGTTTGGTTTTTTTGTTGGTTTTTTTTTCAGACAAAGATTAATCAACCGTATAATTATAATAGCAAATTGAACTTGGAGACTGTTTATAAAACTTGTTGGAAAAATACACACTGGTTTTGGTTGATTTTAGAATTAGGAAATTAATGCACAGATTCAACATTTTTTTATAGAAATAGGTTTCTGATATAGCTAAATGTTAGGGAGAAAGTTCTGCTGTGGCTCACACTTTATGACAAGAAAAAAATTGACAAAGGTAAACACTGCATTTCATCTAGTGCAGAAAGATGCTAAGAGCCCTGACCCCATCCAGCAAAACATGTCAGAGAGTGGCTAATTTCAGCTATATGAGTTCCACCATTGAAAGCAGTGAAACCACTTTGTTTAGTTAGTTCAAAGTGTAGGATGAAGGGCTCTGTAAAACCTTTGCTCCCATGGTTTGGTTTTTGTGTTGGTTTTTTTTTTTCTTTCTTAACTGCAGCCATGAAATCAAAAATTTGAATATTTGAAAGTAATGGAACTCTCTTCTTCTGTGACCGCTTTTCTGTCAAATGACAGGTTAGCTGCTTTCTCCTGAGTTGAAGTGACATTTGTGTGACAGCCTCACTAGCATACCTAACTTCCCTGTTGTCTTTCTAAGGGAATTCCAAACCCAGTAAAAAAAGTAATTTGATTTAAATGAGAAAATATTACATCTGTATTGTAGAGATTAGACAGTAGAGGTTGAGGTCATTAGTCTAATTACTATTTACAGCCATGACAACATGGCATATCCAGAGCCCATCAAATAGGCTAAGAAAGTAAATGGCTGTAGAAGAGGCAAGAAAAGAGAAGATGTCAAGCACACTGTCCTGAGGAATGAAGTAGAATAGACTTATACTGTCTGTGCACTGCATTTTCCCTCCACATTCCCAGGAGAGAATCAAGGGGGAAGATTACAGGGGGATTGTCATCTCTTCAGGTTTGCAGGGCTTTGGAAGTCCACTCTGCACTATCCAGGGGAGCCCTATGAAAAAGCCCAAACCCTCTCAACAAAGGTGACAGGGGACAAACTAAGCTGGTTCACAAGGAGAATAGAAAATTACTTCAAGACCAGCCCTAAGGCTGATTCCACAGGACCATAAAACCACTATGCCATGCATCTTGCATATTCATTAGTGTCACACTGCTTCATATGTGCAAGCACAGAGCAGCTGCAGTGTCAACATGTCTGCGAAAAAAGTATTGGGATACACATACTGGAAAAAATACATTAAAATACATAATACATTATTAAAAATATATAATTTGCATTTCCTCTTAGATCAGGTGAAGCTTACTTGTGAGGAACAATGTCCAGCACCTGCTGGCAGCCAGTACCCATGACCCTGCTTTAAGAATGGGAAGTCATCCCTTTTCTCTTGCAGCAGAGCCTCCCATCATCATGAAAGAGAGCACCATTTCTTCTACACACACTGAAGCACTCAAAAAGGTTTCTTTCTCATACCCCTGCTTTTACAACATGAACTGCTGTGGTACAGGAGAAGTATCTGTTGTTATTTGCAGGCCAGCTGTACCAGTAGGTCTGAGAGTCTTAGTGAACTGTGGCCCTTAGAACAGAAAACTGAGAGTGTTTGAGGCCAGACTAGGATTCCTAAATGAGGATGTAGCCTCATGTAGGTGGGCTTATGTAGTTAGTGGGCTCATGAGGGTGTGTGCTATCCAGAAAAGACCAATACCTTTTGGAGAAACAGTAAGGCTAGCAATGGGTTTCTGGATGGTCTTTAAGACCTTTCACATCACACAAATTCTTTGGTTGGGTGTTACTCACCCTAGATCAGTTTTAAGTGACTTTCTCACTAAAATAATACATTTTGCAAGATGTAAACATGCTTCTGATGCTTATTCTTAAGCTAGTGTAACCAGTTCTCCTTTGTGTAGGAAGTGTTTAATTTCAACTGAGGCAGTAAAAATGCGTAAGAGTACAGACTGCTTCTTATTTATTAGACTTCTGTGTTATGTTATCATGATACAGGAAATCATATACTTCAGCTTGTAGCTTGCAAGGGATATGTGCATGACTCAGCTTAGGAATGAGTAAGTGTAATGATTTAATGAGCTTCCTCGTCTGCAAAGGCATTTGGAAGAAGAATGCCTACATTACTCAGCATTTTTGTGCACTTCATGTTAAGCAGTGGAAAAAAATACCAGCATCAAAAAAAGAGGAATAAAGCAGAACAAATAATGCAATGCAAATAATTTAATGCTATTATAATGCTGGTAGTTAACATCAGGAGGGCATAGAAGTATACAATGTACATATAAGTTACAAAAAACAAGCAGTGCAAGATTAGGACAAAATGCAGGCATGTGAGTGGTGTAACTGTGGATTACAGGCAGAACAGTGATTTGACAGTTGGGATTAGTTTAATATGTTTAGAACCCTTGTACCAAGACTGCAGAGTGAAAATCAAGGAGTCAAAAGAGCTGAATTATTTTGGTCCTGGATTTCCAGCACTCCTGATTGTCCGACTACAATCTTCAGAAAAACACAAAATGCCCCATGTAAAAATCCTTTGTCTCTTGTTTTATTGTTTTGTTTTTTTTTTTTAAAGTGGTTGGTCCAGTGGACTTAATGGAACTGAAGAAGACAGAACCCCTTATTCAACATTCATGGAGTCTTTAGTGGACTGCATGTCTGTCAGTAGTGGAATAATGTTGTTAAGTGTTTGAAACCTGGCTGGAAGACTAGTGGCAGCATTGTGTCAATGTCAGAGTGAAGCCAGACATAGACATCTCTTCACATAAACTTTGAAGTTATTTAGTTTTTTTATATTTGTATAAAGATCTTGGGTCAGTGGTAGAGGAAGGCAGACATTTCTGAGTATCTTTCCCATTGTTGCAAAGTACAAAAGTGATTTCCTGGTTTTTGCAGCTAGCTTAGATTTGAGTAAATTATAGTAAAGGAGTAAAAAATTAATTAAAAGCATTTCCCTTCCCATAAACTTGTTCTCCTAATCACAGACCTGAAACATATTATTTGGGATAGCATTGATGGAGATTCCCAGTCAACTTCCACAGACATACTTGTGATAGTGTGTTGTAGGTGAAACAATTGCTGCAATGTGTTGCATGCCTCCCATGGTTTGGTTTTTTTTTTAACCACATGATGGTCTGGGTGTTTTGCAGCAGTGAATGGAAAGTTAGCATTTGACATCTGGACATTATACAGGTAGTATTCACAAAACAGGGCAGCCCACCCAAAGCCTGCTAGTACTTCACAGCATTTCAAATGCTCCCAAAATTATTTTTATATTAAATGAAATTATAGCTCATAGCTGGTGGCCTGTGTTTACTACAAAAGATGAAAGGTTTTTGTTGCTCTGAAGCTTTTGGGCACCATGGAAACAAGAAATACTCTATATCTCCCTGCTTGATGATGAACACTTGCATAACGTACCAGGACTGGACTTATTGTGGTTCCTGGAGTAAAGAAAACCAGTGAAATAAATGTTCAGCAAAGTGGCATATCCCTCTAGTAATGAACAGTGCATTTGTTCACCTTGGATGAGGAGGTGCCCAACAACTCCAAGGAGTGACGAATTATTCTTTTAGCCATTTTGGACATGTGGGCCAGGCAGACAGTTTAAATCAGTGGATTCTGGATCCCCAAAATGTACACGCAAGTGCCATTTGTGGCA